ACATTGGTGAATGCCACAAATTCTCCTAAATCACTCGTACGCACAACTTAAGAACAAATCTGTGCGTACGAACGGTTCTTGCATGAGGCCCATTGATATTATGGAACTGAAGCCAGATTATAAAAGCCACAAAGGAATAGTGCCCTCCAGTGGCTAACTGCAGTACAACTTTAGGTCCTGCTCCTTTGTGTGTAAACAAATGAGAGTGACATGTTCCTAGCTACAAAATAATTTTTTTTGATGATTTCTTGATTCACAGAGCCAACCTTACTTCTGTGTGTTCAAATATGCATTATTTCAATACATCCGTATAGTTTCAGTTTGAGTTTTACACACTGAGTCTCAGCGGTGGACACAGTTCTCCTAAAGCAATGATTCCCAACCAGGGGTACGTGTACCCCTTGGGGTACGTAAGCATATTACAGGGGGGTACGTGGAAAAATTTCCCACAGAAATGCAAATTCTGTGAGATTTCCCACAGAATCTCACAGAATTTACTCATTTGGGTGAGTTTCTGACGTATTTTGGACGCTGCTTTTTCCTGTACCTGGTTTATTTATTTAATTACTTATTCACTTTCAAGGCAACATTTTTATCTTTCTGTTTAATTTGAGCTGAGAATAATAAAATGCCTGAGAGTTGTATGTTCTAGTGGGTTAAATAATTTTCATTTAATAATCGGCTGTTTTACATTATAGTTTTGGAGAATCATCATTACGTTGACTGAAGGGGTACTAGTGGTATGACAAAATGGCTCAGGGTGTACACAAGTCAAAAAAGGTTGGGAACCACTGCCCTGAAGCACTAAAGCACTAATAGGGGAACTAATTTCCTGAGTAGTGCTTTAGGGATTTTGCAAAATTTAAAATGTTGATGTAATATTTTTTTTTAAATGGTGAAATTCAAAAATGTAGAGGTTTATTATAATATAATGTTTTAAATAAAAGTTTACACAAGCCTGGAAAAAATAAAAGAAAGAAAAAGCGGGTCGTTGACTAGCTAGTCATTAGTCTAGCCTGGACCAGACTTCCCTCCCTTCTCTTCATACTCAGTAATGTGATGATGTCATAATGTACTAACTAATAAAAACTATCTAACAAAATTACACTTCAAATAGGACCAGCGTGTCCCTTTAAAAATGATGTGGCATGACAAAAAGAATGATACATGTATTTATGCTGAATCGTGTTTGGCAGGTACAATGAAATATTCAACAATTACATCACTATCATCTAAAAATGATGTAAACTTTATTTAACAGCTTAAACAAAACATGGATGGCTGATTCAGAAAAACACACAAAAGATTAAAGTCTGGCCTTCTTGTTTAAAACAGCGAGGACGTTTCCTGCATGAGCCACAGCAGCAACAAAATGTGCTGTAAGGCAAGCTATGTTGTATTATGCACACTTTCAAACACTGTAGGGCAGGCCATTTGTGTATTTATTGATATCCCAGATATTCTGAGTTGTTTTTCCATGATGTTGCGCTCTGTCTGAGGGTTTCACATTTCACTTAATTTGTATTTCAAACATGAGGCTTTTTGTTTTGCACCAAGTCTTGATCAAGCCAAATGAACTTGTGTGTGTGTGTGTGTGTGTGTGTGTGTGTGTGTGTGTGTGTGTGTG